CTTTTTAAAAATCCAAACACATTTCTTGACGACGAGACAGAAACTGGCACAAAATATGCTTCGTTCTCAAGTCTTCCTTATCGACTTTGATCCATTCTTCGAACCTTACAGCACAGGTCAAGGCCATTCAGCCCATTTAAGGGGACATAGTAACATACGGTTAATGTCATGAGTCTAGTAATCCTGGGGTTCAGTCTAATGCTCTAGGGACGTGAATTCAAATATCATCGTGACAGCTGGTGGAATTTAAATTCAATGAATAAAACTTGGAATTGAAAGCCATGGTGAACGAGAAGTTTGAATTCTGCATTCTCCAGTCTAACTAAAGAGTTGGTTTTAATTTTATGTAAAAGTTCCTGTTTAGGTCACAAGGTGCCATATTCGGTCTGCACTTTTTTTTCTTGAAAGGACGTCTTTTTTTAATTTGGAATTATTTTGATCAGATCTGGCACACTTTGGTTAACAGATTTATTCTGCTGCTGGGCAGCGAGTAAAAATATCGATGTTACAGCCTCACAGATGTGTCTGCTGCTGTACACAATCTCTCATGGTGACCCTGGCACGTGCTCTGGCAAACAGGGGGAGGCAATGGCCTTGTGGTATTATCACTGGACTGTTAATCCCAGAGACCCAGATAATGTTCCAGTGACCCAGGTTCCATTCCTGCCACAGCAGATAGTGGAATTTGAATTTGATAAATATCTGGAATTAAGAATCTAACAATGAACCCATTGTCAATTGTCGGAAAAACCCATCGGGTTCACTAATGCCCTTTAGGGAAGGAAACTGCCATCCTTACCTGGTCTGGCCTTCATGTGACTCCAGACCCACAGCAATGTGGTTGATTCTGGGCAATTAGGGATGGGCAATAAATGCTGCTTAGCCAGCAACACCCTCATCCTGTGAATGAATAAAGGGGGGAAAAAAAAATTTAAAAAGTTCCGGTGTGGCAAAGGCCCAGTTCAGAGGCTGCTGGATTTCAGGGGTAATGCCTGAGATGGTGACTGCAAACCTGGTATCAATTGATGGAAAGATCTGCCATTCAGGGAAGGAAATCTGGTGTGCTCATCCAGTCTGGCCTACACGTGACTCCAGACTCACAGCGACGTGGTGGACTGCCCTTTGAAGCCAGTCAGTTCATGGGGCAATAAGGACGGGCAACAGAATCTCAAAATTGGTAAGGGGCAGGAGGGGGCCAGCTGACCTGTCATCAGTGCTAATCTCCTGCCCACTCTACAAACCCTACACGCCACTGCAATCTATAAAACCATCCAATGTCCCTCTTAAATGTCTCCATTGAACCTGCTCCCTCAACTTTTCCAGGTATTACATTCCTGACCCTAACTAGGTGGCACCGTGGCTCAGTGGTTAACACTGCTGCCTCACAGCGCCAGGGACCCGGGTACTATTCCACCCTCAGGTGACTGGCTGTGCGGAGTTTGCACATTCTCCCTGTGTCTGCGTAAATTTCCTCCAGGTGCTTTAGTTTCCTCCCACAGCCCAAAGATGTGTGGATTGGCCGTGGGAAATTGCCCATAGTGTCCAGAGATGTGCAGGCTGGGTGTGAGAGCCATGGTGGGGGCAGGGGTCAGTGTAGACGATCATAGAATCCCTACAGTGTGAAAACAGGCCATTTGGCCCAACAAGTCCACACTGACTCTCCGAAGAGCATCCCACCCAGATTCACCCCCCAGCTACTCTATACTTCCCACAGCTAATCTACTTAACCTGCACATCCCTGGACACTATGGGGTAATTTCCCACGGCCAATCCACCCTAACCTAGATACCTTTGGACTATGGAACAAACCCACGCAGACACAGGGAGAATGTGCAAACTCCACACAGACAACAACCTGAGGGTGGAATTGAACACGGGTCCCTGGTGCTGTGAGGCAGCAGTGCTAAATGCTGAGCCACCGTGCTACCCCAAGTGGCCTGCCTTCCACACTATAGGAATTCTCTCACCTTGCCTTTGCAAGTCACTTTAAATCTACGCCCTTTGATTCTTGTTCCCTTTACACCTTAGAACGGTATCTCTTCATCCACTCTATCCAGTGCTCTCACGATTTTGAGAACCTCTATCGGATCTCCTCTTAGCCTTCTGCTCTCCAAGGAGAGCAAGTCCCGATATCCTCACTCTATCCACAACCATTAAGTTGCTTCTGCACTCTCTCCAAAGTACTGTCACCTTTCCTACAGGGTAGCGAAATGCTGATTTTGTCAGCGATGCCCACATCCCATTATATAATAGAGAAAACCAAAAGAATTGTGGATGCTGTAAATCAGGAACAAAAACAGAAATTGCTGGAAAAGCTCAGCAGATCTGGCAGCGTCTGTGAAGGAGAAAACAGAGTTAATGTTTCGGGTCCGGTGACCCTTCCTCGGAGAAAATTAGGGCAATCTATTGCTAGATGAGCCGCAGCGGTCCTTAAACTCCTGAGTGACACCTCAGCTAAAGAAAGCGTTTAGTGGAATTATTATTGATGCCTGGGGAGTTCAGAACCAAGGGGGTGACAGTCTTAAGGATATGGGGTGGATCATTTCAGCCTGAGACGAGGAGAAATGTCTTCACCCACACAGTGTGCAATTCTCTGCCACGGAAAGCAATCAAGGCTAAAACATTGTACGGTTTCAAAGTGCAACTGGGGATAAAGGGATCAAAGGATATGCAGGAAAGGCAGAAACAAGCTAATAAATTGGAACAAAAACAAAGTTGCTGGAAAAGCCCAGCAGGTCTGGCAACATCTGTGAAGGAAAAAAACAGAGTTAACGTTTCGGGTCCAGTGACCCTTCCTCAGAACCTGGTCAGCCATGATTATAATGAAGGATGGAACAGGCTCAAAGGGCTGAATGGCCTACTCCTGTGCCTATTTTCTCCAGCGAGATACAGTTGGAAGAATTGAAGGGCTAAGGTAAAAGTCTTAACAGACAATAGGGCTGTTCTCACATGAGAGGGAGATGACTGGTGGTGGTTTAACCAGAGGGTCACTGCGCCTCAAATGGAGGGGAAGAAGTTGAGAAGGTGAGTCCCTCAGTAAGTGTGGGAATTGAACCACACCGTGCATTACAAAGCAGCCTTCCAGCCAACCGAGCTAACCAACACTCAATGGTAGGACTACAGAAATAATACAAGTTACATACAGTTCTTTGGACTAAAGCGATCGAAGGATATGGGGATGAAAGCAGGAACAGGGGACTGAGCTCGGTGATCAGCCAAGGTCATGTTGAATGTTGGAACAGGCTTGAGGGGCCGAATGGCCTTTTCATAGAATCCCTACAGTGTGGAAACAGGCCCTTCGGCCCAACAAGTCCACAACGACCCTAGAGCATCCCACGCAGACCCATCCCCCTATAAACCCACCTAATCTACACATCCCTGAACACTACGGGCAATTTCCATGGCCAATCCACCCTAACCTGCACATCTTTGGACTGTGGGAGGAAACCGGAGCACCTGGAGGAAACATTTCTGCTCCTATTTTCTACGTTTTTAAGTAGAAATATAATATGGCTGATGAGCAGAAGATCTAACGTCGGTACTTCTTAGAATAGAAATCTAGAGTGTGGAAGGAGGCCACTTAGCCCATCAAGTCTGCACTGACCCTCTGAAGAGCATCCCACCCTATCTCCACAACCCACACATTCCCCTCTGAGACACTCACCATCCTGACTTGGAAATGTACTTGGCCAAAATCCTGGAACTCCCTCTCTAATAGCAACATGGGTCCGTCTACACCACACAGACTGCAATAATTCAAGGTGGCTGCTGCCTTCTCAAGGGGCAACTAGGGACGGCCAACAAATGCTGACCCAGCCAGTGACACCCACAATCTGTCAACAAATATTAAACCTGCCCCTCCTTCCTCCCACCAAGTGTGCTGGAGGTAGCCTGCAGAAGATCTTCAAAGCTCGCCTCTAATCCCTTAGTTATGGGGCAAAGACCAAACAATGTCTTCGGACTATCTCAGATAATCTCATGAGATAGTTAAAGAGAATGCAGGAGACAATTGCAAACGATGACTTTAAATTAGATTGCGAGATTGGGTTAAAGGCTCCGAATTTAGGACTGAAATTGAAAGGTGCCACCTTCCTGCCAAGAATGACGACGTGGCGTTGAAGATGCGTGGAAACATCGGGCAGCCCTGCCCAGCAGATGAATTAAGATGGGCTGAATTGCCTTCCCTAAGCTGCGAGCTGGTTACACAGGCAGGAATATTAAATTGCATGAGAAAACCGGTAGCCAATTTCAACACCGCAAACTGCAATGTGATTAAAAAAAACTGATGAATCTACTTTGACAGGGAATGGGGTTTGGAAGAAATCTTCCCTGTTCACCTTCAGCATAATCCAATTAACATCTGATTTGCACCTCTGGCAGCGCGGTTCTCCTTTAGTATTGCACTGGGCATGTCAATGAGCTCAATGTTTCTGAAGCTGGGACAAAACTCCCCACTTCTATCTCAGAGATGGGGCCAGCGTTCCCAGAAAGAGGGCTGGGATGACAAAGAGATTCAATAATAGTTTTCAAAGCGGCATCTCTTCAGAGAGACGGGAACAATAACTGAGGCATGGTATAAAAATAGCAGTAAATCAGCAGAGCCAGCAAACCAGCCAAAAGGTTTCAATACTCTCAGCACCAGGGACCCGGGTTCGATTCCCTCCTCGGGCGACTCTCTGTGTGGAGTTTGCACATTCTCTCCCCATGTCTGCGTGGGTTTCCTCCCACAGTCCAAAGATGTGCAGGTTAGGGTGGATTGGCCATGCTAAATTACCCGTAGTGTTCAGGGATGTGTAGATTAGGTGGGTTACAGGGGAATGGTTCTGGGTGGGATGCTCCGAGGGTCGGTGTGGACTTGTTGGGCCGAAGGGCCTGTTTCCACACTGTAGGGATTCTGATGCAGAGAGATCTGGATGTCACAATACATTGCCCTGACACCTCCAGTCTAACTGCTATATATTGTGTTAAAGTGGTTTGCAAATTAAAAGATATATACACACTTTAAAAAAACAATCCTTTTTTATTTCTCTTTTGGAAATAATTCTGCCAGTGATTCACCCTCCATTTCTTTGAACGCAAGCTCTGCTGATAAAATCTTTAAACATGATAATCTGTTTTAAAATTAAAATTCTACCATCTGCCCCCAGACCATCGCTTGTTGAGATAAATTACTGGAGTGTTCCGAAAGGCAGATGTACAGCAAGGAGCTCCATGGAGCCTGAAATCACAGCCCTAGGGACGTGGGGGCAAGAAAAGGAACATGGGCAAGGGGATGAGGGGAGCACTCCCACATTACTTTCCATGTGCCCCACTGTCTTGTTACTGAAGGGTCTCTGTGCGCACGTGCATGTCAGCTTGGTCCCTCTGTGAAAGGTGATCACTGGGAGATGAGGGTCCTGCATAATTCTCCCTCCTGCTGAGTAGTTTCCCTCTCCCCACTTCTTCCTCGAGCAGCCCGGGCTCAAGTTCCACTGTGGGCCTGGCACAAGAGGGTCCGAGAGACCCAGATCCAAGTCTCCCCCAAGGGAGCATCAGCACCTTCAGTGAGAGAGAGAGATTGGGACAGACACAGAGAGACAGAGAGAGAGAGAGAGAGAGAGAGAGAGGGAGAGACACACACACACACAGAGACACAGGGAAGGGGAAGAGAGACAGAGACAGCAGAGGTGGGGAGGGGGCAAGAATGAGAAACAGAGAGTGAGTTAAATAGAAGGGGTGGTAAGGAGACAGACAGAGAGTCACACACACAGAGAGACACAGAGAGAGAGACAGACAGTGAACGAGAGAGTGAAAGAAATAAACAGCAGGCATGGGGAGGAGAGCGCAAGAGAGAGAGAGAGTGCGCAAGGGGTGGAGGGTGTGGGAGAGAGAGACAGAAATAGAAGAAAAGTCAAGAAGGGAAAATAAAAGCTGTCAGCAGAGGGTATGACTTCCAACCTGAGTAAAACAAGAGAGAGAGAGACAGACACTAAAGGATTAAACTGTGAGGTGACCACCCCTTGGTCAAGTCCCAAGAAATGCCAACTTGGGAGATCTGGGCAGTCCCCGGTCACTTGCAGAGTGGTTGGCCCTCACTGGGCCTTGGTGAGGTTCCTCTGGTACTGGTTCGGCCCGATGTAACGTAACGGGCTGTGGGTGGGATGACTGATCACTTCTTTGCCGAGGTAGGGTTGGAGAACCGCTGGTACCCGCACGCTGCCATCCTAGAAGAGAAAACCAGAACCGTTTCCAGGCCATTGTCAAAGTGAAGCAGAACCGAAAACAAAAAGTTGATACGACATACAGCGCACCAGTCGGCTTTTCAGTCATGAGCTACATTGGCAGAATGAGGGGACACGCTGCCAGGGACAACACCATTGCCAGCAGGAAACCAACCCCTTGGCATGGCCATGAGGAACACCACTTTACCATACCTGGAGTCACAAAAGCTGGAGGCTAAAATCAAAACCGGGGGAATAGAATTTACCGGGATGTTACTGGAACTGGAGATTTTGTGTTATAAGGAGAGGCTGGATAGACTGAGACCTTTTTTCCACTGGAGCGTAGGAAGTTGAGGGGTGACCTTATAGAGGTTCATAAAATCATGAGGGGCATGGATAAGGTGAATGGCCAAGGTCTTTTCCCCAGGGTGGGGGAGTCTGAAACTAGAGGGGCATAGGTTTAAGGTGAGAGGGGAAAGACTTAAAAAAGACCTGAAGGGTAGCTTTTTCCATACAGAGGGTGGTGCGTGTGTGGAACGAGCTGCCAGAGGAAGTGGTGGAGGCTGGTACAATTGCAACATTTAAAAGGCATCTGGATAGGTATATGAATAGGAAGGGTTTAGAGGGATATGGGCCAAATGCAGGCAAATGGGACTGGTTTAGTTTGGCAAATTTGGTTGGCATGGACGAGTTGGACTGAAGGGTCTGTTTCCGTGTTACATAACTATGGCTCTAACAAAGTTGGAGAACATGAGGCTCTGTCCTACACAAGTTTACAACTTGTAATCAGCTGGAATTTTCCAAAACTAGAGGAGGGGAAAAGAACTGCAGGGCTATGGGGAATGGAACAAATTGGACTGCTCTCTTGGAGAGCTAGCACGGGCAAGATGGGCCAAACAGCCTCCTTCTGTGCTGCAGGACTCTATGATTCACATTCCCAAGCAATCAAAGGTGGGACCACTTGATGGACTGCCCCTCTGTACCTGAGCGTCTTTTGGATACGGAACGACCGAGAACTGAGAGACTTACCTTCAGCTGGTTACATTCCAAGATAGCGATTAGCGTGCGGGGTACAGCACAGGCAGTGGCATTAACCTGAGCACAAGCAGAGGGAGACTGAGATAAGCAAGTGATTTCCTTTCAAGGGGCATGTCCTTGAGAGCAAGCAGAAAAACAAAGTCCTTTTTATTGTATTTCACAAATGGGCTGTGTCTCGTAGGAAGGCCTTAAGGAGCATGTAGGCACAGAGACTCGGATTGGCCAGGCTACATCATTGCCCAGGGATGGAAGGACGGAAGGACGGTCTTTATAGCTCACCCTGGTTAGGGGTGTCACCGCAGAGTGCCAGGTGAGGGGGCAAATCCTCAGTGCCATCCCTCAGCGTTCTTCCACCCCCAAGTCCAAGTTGAGGCTGGAGCTGCTATATCTCCCCGTCACCAGAAGGGGCAGTGTGGCTGACTGGCCAACTCCCTGGTCTTTGTCCCAATGTGCAACCTCTTGGGAATTTCAAACTCAGTGGGAGTCATCCGCGCACATGTGGCCCGGTGAGACCTATTGGATATTGGAGTCCCTTAGAAACCGAATTTGCCCGAGTATAGCACGAGATTTCACTTAATAGCCGTTACAATGGTAACTAACTTCCCAAAATCCTAGCACGAGGGAACACGGGGGCATGATACCCATCGAACAACATATCTGTACCAAATGTACTCTGCTGTCAGTGTATTGTTTTTGAAAATAAAACAGTTTTGCTCTTAACAGGAATGAAAGCTAACCTTCAGATGGAGGTGCGCAAAGGAACACTGGCCATCCAATGTCATGACTGATGTCCCACGGCCTTTCTCTGAACCCTTAGGCCAATCAACCGTCACGGAGAAAACAACCTGCCCCTAAAAATATGAAAATAGCTGCCCCAGGGCAAAGGGGAGTTCTTGTTCTCATGAAGCAGACCTCGTAGGCAGGTGTCATGCCATGGCCCATTGAGTCTGCACCGATCCTCAGAAGAGCATCCCACCCAGCCCCCATCGTATCCCCATGTCTCCCAGGGCCAATCCACCTAACCTGCACGTCTTCGGACTGCGGGAGGAAACTGGAGCACCCGGAGGAAATCCACGCAGACACTTGGAGAACGTGCAAACTCCACACAGGCAGTAGCCTGAGGCTGGAATCGAACCTGGATCCCTGGTGCTGAGAGGTAGCAGCGCTAACCACTGAGCCACGTGGCTGTGCTTTCCAGAATGGGAAATCATGCCTGACAAATTTGTGGGAAGAGAACAAGCAGGACAGATAAAGGCATTTGATAAGGTACTTAAATGCTACTTAAGAGCCCATGGGAGTGGTATAGACGCATGGAGAGAGGATTGGTTACCTAATAGAAGACCGATGAGATAAAAGGAGGCATTTTCAGGATGACAACCTGTAACTAATGGAGTGCCAAAGGGATCAGTGCTGGGGCCATGATTATTTACAATATCGATAGACAGACAGAGAAACGCTTTCAACTTACAGTGTGAACATATTTCAGCTGAGCAGCTTCCTCATAATACATGATGTTCAACCTTCTGCTCTGGTAGTCTGTGCAGTTAGATGCACTTGAAAGCTTGCAAAATGAGAAATAAAATTACTCAACTGAAACGAAAAAAATTAAAACCAAGAGTAGAAGAAATTAAAGTCTACACATCAGGAGCTGCTAAACTTATGTAAGATGATACATCTGCAGATGCTTTTATGAATTCATGCATGGAATGAGGGCATCGCTGGCTAAGCCAGCATTTATTGCCCATCCCTAATTGCCTAGAGGGCAGTTAAGAGTCAACCACATTGCTGTGGGTCTGGAGTCACATGTAGGCCAGACTGGGTAAGGATGGCACAAAAATGGAAATTGCTGGAAAAGCTCAGCAGGTCTGGCAGCATCTGTGGAGAGAAATCAGAGTTAACGTTTCAGGTCAGAACTGTGGGGATGGCAGTTTCCTTCCTTAAATGACTTGACGGATTTTTCCCCTGACAGTCGATTTCATGATCATTGTTAGACTCTTCATTCCAGATTTTTTTTTTATTGAATTCAAATTCCACCATCTGCCATGATGGGATTCAAACCCAGGGTCACCAGAACATTACCTGGTTCTCCGGATTAACAATCCAGCGATAATACCACTTGGCCATCGCCTCCCCTGCAAATGGACTGTGGAAACTTTGCCAGGTCAGCACCACCTGCAGCCATGGTTTTTACCACCTGGAGGGGCAAGTGGAGCTAGTTCCCCTGAAAGATCCCCTCCAGGTCGCACCCCACCCTGAACGGGAAATACTCCTCACTGTCGCCGAGCCAAAACTCTGGAACTCCCTCCTTAAAGGCACTGTGGGTATCCCTACATCACAGGGACAGCTGCACTAGATAGCAGTAGCTCACCACAAGCTTCTCAAAGGCATTCAGGCCTGGGTGGGGGGGCAGGATAGACACAGCTTTTTAATTGTCACATCTCAAAGATAACAATTTTCTTTGTTTAATTGAGGTTATGTCTGCACTGTGGCAACTCCCACAATGAATACAGACGAGAGAACTCAGCACAAATTGAAAATATTAAATTGTATAATGAAAGACAAACCATGTTACATTGCTTCCAATTATATCAGCTGTCAGAATAGAATGCCAATTTACAAAGAGATTGGTAAAAGAACCAGAAAATGCCACAAGGAGAATAAATGTTACACATCGCTTGAAGTGCTGGGATTTGCTTTCAGTAAGATGGTGGCTCAGTGGTTAGCACGGCTGCCTCACGGCGCCAGGGACCCGGGTTCGAATCCACTCCTCGGGTGACTGTCTGTGTAGAGTTTGCACATTCTCCCTGTGTCTG